AGTTCTGTCTTCCCCAGCTGCATCACATCACCTTTTTACGGATGCTAAAATGACATTTCTGCACCTGATGTCATAATTGCTTTCCTTTTATAAGTGTGTGCAAGGTTTGCTGCGTAGCATGAGATTCCAAATGCCACCTTGGGTAAGTGTCTGTTTCCCCAGACACAGAATCTGTGGTTATGCATGGTGTTCAGTATGCTAAGGAAGAAGGACAATGAACTTCGTGATAAGGTTTTATAGACTAAGATTTTTGTTGGTTCCAGCTTTTATTTTTGACTCATGAAATTAGTGTGTTTTTAATAGGAAATCTTCAATTAGTTTCTGGAATGAGAGTGTTTCTCTGAATTAAATGATTTCATTTGTTTGCTATATTATTTCTCAAGGAACTTACTGTCCCTTTAGTCTGGTGTTTTTATATTTCTGTTTACATTCTCTATAAAGTAGGTAAGAGCTTACTGTTGGTTTTCAATATTTAAACTTACTTTCACACTTACCATCATCTACATAAGTCACTTAAAATATTTTATAAGTGACCTCTGTAATTTTGGATATTTAAATTTAATATGAATTATTAATTATGTAATGAGGTACATCAGTTTGAAAAACAATTTAACTACTTCCTTACAAAATAGGTCAAATATTTTTCATAAAAATCCTGCTTTGTTTACTGTTGATTTCAAAAATTTCACATTAATGGTGTCAGCCATTAGTATGGTTGAAAGTAAAGCAAGATAATGATAATGGGACTTTTCCTGTGTTTGCTGCAGAAGTCTGGGGATGTTATATACCAACATCTTTTGAGAGGAAAACTTACATCTGTGTGGAAATGCTAGAACCATTTTGCATAAGGGAAAGATTTAGGACTATGTATTTTCATCTGTTTGATCTGTGTGCCTTTTATCTTACATCCAACCTCTGCTGGTTCTTCATTTTTATGAAGAGAAAAACATACACTATTATCTTACTCTTAGTGTACCTATAATTCAACAAAGCCAAATAATACTGAAACCTATTTTATAGAAATATAAGACGTTTGTTCTTTATGAGATTGATTAGAGATTCTCACACAGATCTATGTGTATTTGCAAGAAATGACTGTTTCATATTGTTGACAAGTGTCACTGGGTTTCTTCTGTTACACTGGACTAATAATTACTTTCTCTTGGTTTTTTTGAAGATAATGGAAGCATATGAATGCTGTAAATTACATGGATAGGTGATTATCCAGAGCTCTACATTAGTGTCATTTAAGTTGACAAAATAGATACTATTTATTGCATGTTTAAAAAGTACAGCACTGCCATCCATGTACTCAGATTTTCTTTCCAGACTTTCTTCTCCAGAAGCTGTTTATTTCACAAACGCTGCTCACCAAGAATGGTTAATCTTTCTGGCTGGGGAGGACTTTGCCTTGTCTGGTAGAGTGCTGGTTCTGTGTCATTCTCTTTGTAAAATTCTTCCCAGTACTATAGCATTCAGATCAACATCTCCATGAAACTAATCCATGCCTGCATACATGATCACTCTCATCACACAGCTCCTCGTTTAACCTTATAGACAAAGACAATATTGATTATAAAGACAAATTTTACTGATGCTAAATGACATTTCTGCAAATGATGTCATAATTGCTTTCCTTTTATAAGTGTGTGCCAAGTAGCCCACTGTGACAAATTTGTTTTGCAAATTAAAGGAATAAGAATTTAGATAGGCTATTTCATGGATGTAAGACATGACAGTATCCTGGACATAAAGTCTATTATTATATACTGTCTTATTCTACATGATCTACAGATTATGTTCACATTTCTTATTAAAAAACAAAAATATGTAGTGCATGCTTGCATTCTTTAATCTATCCTAATGTAGGTGATAAGTGCTGACATTTTGTGGCCATCAAGTCAGACCCCTCTGCCTCCCACTGTACTCCCAGTCTTTCCTCACAGTTGCATTAAGCTCAGCATTTGTCAGTAGCTTTTGAAATATCATATTATTCCACATGCCATGAGATTGTCCCTGGTCTCAGTAATGGCAAGTAAACAGAATATCTTACGTGAGCTCTTCCTTGATCCGAGTAATAATTAGGTCGTGAACTGTTTTGCATTTTCCAGTGGGTTGAGAGAGCATCTTTACTGAGTTATGCGTGCTCCCAATGTTGACTCTTTCAAAATGCAGAGATTTCTATTTGAAATTTCTGACTTCATTTCTTTTTTGCTTTTAGTAAGACACCCTTTTGTGTTTGATATGTTGGGTGCAGCAGGTCCTATTTCAAAGTTACTCCTCAAAACTATTTTGGGGGAGTTTTTCTAGATCATCCTGTGGCTGGATATACTGACTATACTGTTCCTTGTTTCCTAAGCTGTGCTGAGCCAGGCAGGTGTGAGGTGCATGACGCATGGCTGGGTGAGGATTTTCCACCAGAAATTCTTGTAGCCTGTTTCCTTGTGTTTACATTTTTATGTATATATTTTGTAATATAAACAACTACATTGGAGGTAGCAATATGATACATATTAACCAGTGTTAACCACCTATTATTTTGTTTTAAAACTCTATCAACTTTTTTATTTATAAAATTAAGAAAAATATTAGTGCACAAGTTGCTATACATCTTTCTGCATACCACATACAAATAGAAAAAGATATTTGGTGTGTGTTTTGTTCACATTATGTGTGATCGACTAAATTGCAAGATGTTGGAATGGTTGTGATAGTTTCTGTCATCTTTCTAATTTGATACAAGTTCTAAGAACATAAATAGGTGGTTTTGAAATCAGCATTAATGCTTTAGAGGGACAAGATCACTTTTCTTCTCTAAAGAATATTTGCCTATTTTCGGTAAGGACCCAGCGTCCCCTCATATCCTGAATGTTGAACAAACCTAGAGCATCTCCATACATCTCTCATTTCAGCCCTACATAGTTGTGGGACTGCAGTTCTCTAAGCAATTGTAAAAATAATATACTTCTGTCCCCCCAGATTTTCATTGATTCAAACAAGTTAGTTGGCCAATTTTACATTATTTACCAGACTCAATTTTTAAAAAAGGAAAAAAAAAATCAAAGCTTAAATTTAACAATAATAGCAAGGTAAGTTTATTACTTATATTTAATTTTTATGTAATTTTTTCATGTATTTTTAAAATTTTGATACTGATCAATTCAATATTAGTCATTTAAAACATTATCTGCTTATATTTTATAACTTTCATGAAGTAGATGTACAGGAAACAGGAGACTTTCATTTATAAGTACATGAAAGATAAAAAAAAAAAACTTTGAGGACTGCATTTAATGACAGCATGAAATCTACACTATTCAGAGAACCTGGTAGTCAAATGAATATTTTTCAGTTTTCCCCTGAACATATACAGGACTTAACTTTAATCTGCTGAATTCTGGAATGGATAAAATCATATTACTTGACTTTAGCAATGCTTTGGAAACAGAGTAATCTTTCTAAATTTTACTATGACATATCAATTTTACAAAGATTTTCATATAATTATATCACCTACTCTTTTTCTTCTGAATTTTAAATGTGATCACATATCCAATGTGCCTAAAGATTTCAGGTTTTATTTCAACACTTATAAAGTACATGCTCCAAGTAGTTACTAATTGTAATCTTTTTTTCTGTACTCTTAATGTAAGAGTAAGATAAGATTGGAATGTCATGACAATATTTGCCTGTACTAATGTTGTCTGTTAGAAAATTCATGTTTTAGCCTATAAAGCCTGATATAAAGTAAATAGATAAATCACATTGGGAAATAACTAAAATTTGATTAATACCAAATCAATAATATAAAATTTATGTTTGATTTCCATAACTCTACAGAAATATCCAGAATGGTGTAGAAATTTTGAGTCATGATCAGCTAGCTTCACCCTTGGGATATTTGTTATTCACATAATTAAAACACAAAAAAATTTTTTTAAAGAATTTGTTGAAAATATAGAAGTATCAAAAAAAAAAAAGAAAATATAGAAGTATCTGCAATTCTCATTCCATATGCTCATAGTGGTGTTAAAACAAATTTAGAACTTAAAGGTTTATTCGTATTTATTAACATGCTGATGACTTAATGGTAAGTTTGCTTGTCATGAGTTTCTAGAATATATGAGCTCTGTAGTTTTGGAAGATTAAATCAGTGTGGATCATGAATATATATTAAGGACAAGCCTAACTTGATAGTCATTTCTCTTTATGCTTTTAGGCTGATACAGAGGTAGAAAATTATTAATTTTCAAGTTATGTATGAGGAACTGTATAATGACAATAATAATAGTTGATATTTGATTCCAATTGTCTTCTCTCTTCATGTGTGGAACATTTGCAGAAATGATACATTTAAGTAGTAAGTAATATAATTTCCCACATTTTACAGATCAGATGACTGTGGCTCAGACACGTTTTCAAATTCTCCATTTGATAAATGTCAGATAATAGATGAAAACCAAAAGCATTTGACTTCAGAACCTACTGAGAAATATTTGTTCTCTATGAGTGGTTTTCCTGGCAATAAACCCAACTAAAAATATCATGGATGCAACAACTCTATTGCTGCACCATAAACAATTACTACTTAGAGGACCTTCTTTCCAGATGTAGGCCACTAACTACTTCCAGAAGCATTTTTCACATGCTACATGTACAAGGCAAACAGGACACTGTGCATAATTTTTAAAAACTAAAGATTGAAAAATAAATACCTTCTACAATCTAGCGCAGTTTTCTCACAGAGGGACTCTGAGCGACATGCAGGGAGATTTATAATCCACTCTCCATGAAGAATGACTGGCTCAGAGAACAGTGGTGCAGTTAGGCAGCTGTGAAGTAAATCTAAGTTCTGAAGTGGAAGGGATGCATGAGGAGGAATCCACATATTTAGATGAAGGGATAGTGTTAGCTGAGATCATGATGATAGTGTTATCTGTGATATATCATTCTTCTTGCTTTTTCCTCAGACATTTATTGTTTGATTTTATCTCATGAAGATGAATAAAAAGTGGAAATTCTCCAAGTATACTGATATAAGAAATGCAATATTCTTTGAAGTCATCATTGGGATCACAGCGAACACTGTCCTGCTTCTATTCCACATCTTCACATTTCTTTGCAAGCACAGGCCCAAGCCCCTCGATATGGCTATTAGTCAGTTGGCCCTGATTCACCTGGTGTTGCTGGTAACCATGGCTGTCATAGCTACAGACATTTTTGGGTTTGAGGACTGGTGGAATGATCTCTTGTGTAAATCAGTTATTTATGTAAACAGGTTGATGAGGGCCCTCTCCATCTGTACCACCTGCCTTTTGAGTGTCCTCCAGGCCATCACCCTCAGCAACAGAAACTCTTGCTTGGCAACATTGAAGCACAAATCCGCGCATCACTACCCATGCTGCCTTGTCCTCTTTTGGGTCTTCAATCTGCTCCTGAATGGTCGCTACTTAATTTCTATTGGTGCCACTCCCAATGAGACTTCACAGAGTCTCATGTTTGTCACTGAATCCTGCTCTCAGTGGCCTATCAGTTACTTGTTCAGGTACATATTTCTCTCCTTGGTGAATATTCAGGATATCTCTTTTATAGTGTTGATGGCCTTCTCAGGTGGATATATGGTAAGACTGTTATGCAGGCATAAGAGGCAGTTCCAACACCTTCACAGCACCAGCCTTTCTCCAAAGGCATCCCCAGAAGAAAAGGCTACTCAGACCATTCTGCTGCTCATGGGTTTCTTTATAATCATGTACTTGTTGGACTGTGTTACTTTCTCATCCCTTGGAGTGTTGTGGAAAGATGATCCCATTCATCATTGTGTCCTGATGCTTGTGGGAAATGCTTATGCAACAATTTGTCCTTTTGTGCTAATGAGCACTGAAAAGCGAATGATTAAATGTTTAACTTTCAGGTGTGAAATATAGTAAATTTTCAAGTAGTTAGTGATAGATAATTTCTTTTCAGATAAGCAAAAATTTAGATTCCTGTTGCATCACTGAAATGTATGTTGTTATAGTTTTATGTTTAACATATTTAATTTGCTGTATGTGGGTGACAAGTACATCAGATATAATTTTGCGCTATATTCTATTGAAGAGTCTACTTCTCTAATCATATTCACAAAAACTGGAGCCTTTCCTCAGGATCACTGTCAAAAAACAGGATATATGTGACTGATCTTATGAGGATGTAGCACCATCAATGGAAGTAGGAAGAAGGGCTTACACACGCAATGTACATAAAATATGCCAAGAGACTTCTTTATATTTGCCTATTTATGAGCTTTTCTTTTCGAGTATCAAATTTGTATCACATATTCTTCAGAAAACTTATTAAAAATCAAACTGTCTGTAATAAGAATGTAAGTGCTTTGTGAGTGTGTGCATTTTACTTTTTTCTTATTAAAAGTTTATCACTATAATTTAGATGTGCATAATGCTCACATTCATAACAGGAATTTATACCTATGCATGAACATATCCTGAATCTTTTTTTCCTAATTCCCTCCTTCTTTCAACCACTTTCCTTCCTCATTGGCAAAGTTTTGTTTTCATTTTATCTTCTTTAATCATTTTTCTTTCCCCTCCTCCTTTTCCTCCTCTCCTTTCCCTAGTTCCTCTTACTTTTGAAAAATTTCGTCTCACTTCACAATACTTATTATACACTTTGATTCTTATTAGCACTTTCAGTGACTCCATCAGAGAAAAAATGCAATATTTGTACGTGTATGTCTGATTTCTTTTCTTTCTTTCTTTTTATTTTATTATTTTGTTGTCTTTTCAACGGGGTATCATTTTACAGCCCTGGCTGTCTTTGAGCTCACTTTGTAGACCAGGCTGGTTTTAGATTTGCAGTGATCCTCCTGTCTCAGCTTACCAAATACTGGGACTACAGGCATGTGCCAAAACATTCTGCTCTTAGATTTATTTTACTTAAAATTATTGATCTCACAATGCATCCATTTAGCTAGATTAGTGTAGTACTCCATTGTATAAAAAAAAAAAATCTTTTCTGTCCGATCTTCATTTGGGTTAAAAGGCATTTGTTTTGTTTCCAAGAGGTAACTATTGCAAACAGTTCTGCTATAAACATGGGTGTAACTTACTGTCATGTGAATAGTGCATGATATATGTTCATGGACTATAACTAGCATTTTATCACAGAATTTTCAATAGCACATGGTCATGATATCTGAAGGACAACATTGGGTATGCTCTTCCTAAGAAGGGGGCTAACTGACCCACTCTTTATTTTTCTCATTTATGTTTGTACTTTAGCATTACAGTAGGTGGGTGTGCATCTCAGCTGCTTTCCCCAGGGGATAATGAAAATGATCTATATGTTTACCACTTGGTATGACATGTGACAAGGCATGTGCATTTGTGAAAAGTGGCAAAATGGGATTTGTACCCACCCTAATGCTCCATCTAAATGGTTTTGTGTGTGTTTACCTGAGCATTAAAAAGGGTCCAATAGATTCATACCACTCCAGTATATTTTTGTCTCTGCACATTATTTTAATACAAAGAAGTACAGTACTTTATGCAAATATACAGATCTGAAATATAACATTAAATGTAAAATGCAAGAATGTAATAAAGTGGAATGTTAAGTTTTATTCAGTGAGACTTGAGTAGACAAATACAGACATATTTGATTATCAAGACATAATGAGCCAGAGTATAAATTTTCTAAACCATGATTAGCAGAATTTTCTGAAAATGAATAAAGGCATTATAGACATGAAAATGAGTAACAGCTGGTAAATCAGGTCTCTTGTCTACACTATACAGTGTAATATACACAGCAAGACTAAGAGAAACTCGAGTTAAAGGTCTGAAGTGTAAGTAATATATCTTCTAAGTGATATATAGTTTTGATACATAAATATCCTTAATCATGAATCAGTTTAGAATGATTGCATTTGTTGTACAATGGAAATCTGCTGTGTATTAATCTGATAAATACTTTCAATTTTAAGGAACTATCTAGAAAGAAATGAAGACTCCTAAAAAGGAATCACTAACTCCATTTCCACTTGTTACAAAAAATCAATAAAAATAAAAATATGAGGAAGAGATATTGGCTACATGGCTATGTATCAGCATAATCATTAAAAAAAGAACTTCTTAAATTAAAATTTATCCTAAAAATGCAAATTACCTAAATTTAGAATAACAAAACCAAACTTTGTACTTGCACATTTATTTGATAAACAGGACCTGGGTGTGAGAGGCTACATAGCTTAGTGGTAAAGGTCATGCCTCACATGCTAAAACCCTGGGTTCAAAATTCACCACCCTAAACAAAAAAAACAGCTTTAGCTATAAAATAAACACCTGCTTTTCTGTAGAACTGATGATTAGTTCTCAGCACTACATAGTATTATGTAACCCTCTACTTTTTAAAGAAAGAAATATGCCTATCTGTGAAATCCAGCAGAATAGATTTCTCTTGAAAATTCACAAAAGCTTCAATGCGACCAAGAGGTGATGGCATTAAAAAAAATTAAATTTTTATTTAAAATGAAAAAGAGAAGAGGAAAAAAAAACAGGAGAAAGGAAAAAAAAACAAAATTAAATAAAACAAGACAGTGTAAGGGTACAAGTAATACAGAACTACAAAAAAAGTAAGAAACCACCAGTTAATACATTACACATTATCATCTTAGAGATAGTTGCTCAAGTCACAGGATCAAAGCATACAAAGTGGGCATTCAAACAGAGAGACTGCAAACAGTTCTGTTCAATAATCTAACAACAACATTAAGATTGTCATCCATCTTATGCACCTAAACACACTTGCAGTTGTATCCTTTAGAGCATTTTTTTTTTATTTTTTACAACAAAATTTACACATTTTGGGTTTTATTATTCCCATAGTTATTATTACTGTTTTTTGGAAGAGAATAAAACCAAGTATGACAAAACAAAGTTGTCAGCCAAAATCAAGGATAGACATAGCACATGATGTAAAAACAGAGTACAAGGTTATCAACAATGGTTACTATAATGCCTCTTCCTTTCTTAAAAAGAATTGCCTATATCATTAGGTATTATATATTGAACAAAACAGTACAGAAGTAGACCAGTAAAACCTAAACATCATAAACATTACAGAACTTGAAAAGAAGACAGTAGTCAAACCAGAATGGGCATCTTAGTGAATCTCATTGACTTCAAAGTAGATGCCTATACCCTCAAACTTGATACTATCAAATAGAATGGAACAGAGTCTAATCATTCAAAACAAGACAGTGGGAGTAATACAGGCTTTTTAATCAACTTAAAAGGAAATCAAAAAAGTTACTATAATATATCCTACTAAATTAATTTATTTTCCCCTTAATTAAAAAATAATAAATAACTAAATAATTTTTTAAAGAATAAGGGAGAGATTGAGATAAAACAGGACATAACAATATAACAATAGAGGTCAAAGCATGACAATTTCAGCAACCGAGTGCTTCACCAGCAAATAACCCGACTTAATAGTAGTTACCATAGTGTCTTTTTCCTTGAAATATTTGAAAATAAGTTGGTATACTATAGCATCAAACATATTAAGACAGTGTAAAACCATTCAAGAGGATGAAAATATTGCAGGTATTTAGAACCACCTAACAGAAAACGAACAATTGTTTCTATATTTTCTCTTTGCCTATAACAATTTTTGTTTATGCTCTCACATATAATAAAATCCAGCAAGATACAACATGATAAAACCAATGGAGACAGAAGAGCCATAGTTTGGTGGGACTTCAAAACAAGATAATATTAAATCAGCACTAGTTATTAGGATGTCCTGTTTTCTTCAAAATAGCTGTTCATTTCATCACAGGCAATAATATCAAGCAGCCCAGGATAAAGCCATTCCAATTAATAAGGGAAAACTTTATAGGGCTTCACTGCCACATAATAGGGAATCATGATTACCACATACTTTTATATATTTGAATCATTTCTTACACTAGGGAAATTATTCAGTATTCAGACATGCGAGTTTGATTTACTTCACTTATGAGTATGGTCTCAAGCTGCGCCCAATTATTTATAAATATCTCAATGTGAATGTTCTTTATAGCCGAGTAGTATTCCACTGTATAGGAATACAACAAATTTTTATCCATTCCTCAGTTGATGGACACTTGGGTTGTTTCCAAGATCTGGTGATTACAAATTGTGCTGCTATAAACATAGGTGTGCATATATCATTCTGGTATGATGATTTCAGTTCTTCTGGGAATATGCCTATAAGTGGAATAGCTGGAACAAACGGGACTTCCAATCCCAGCAATTGAGAAATCTCCAGACTGACCTCTACAAAGGTTGTACCAGTCTATACTCCCAACAACAGTGCAGGAGAGTTCCTTTTTCCCCACATCCTCTGCAGCATTTGTTGTTGTTGGTTTTCTTGATCCAGGCCATTCTTTCAAGAGTGAGATGGAATCTCAGTGGGGTTTGAATTTGCATTTTTCTAATGACTAATGGTGATGAACATTTTTCATGTATTTAGTTGCCATTTGTATTTCTTCATCTGAGAAGTGTGTATTCATCTCAGATGCCCATTTTTGGATTGGATCTTTGAATTTTGGAGGTCTGAGGTTTTTTTTTTTTAATTCTTTATATGTTTTAGACAAAAGTCCCCTGTCTGAGGAGGAGTTCACTAAGATCTTTTCCCAGTTTGTGGGTTTTCTTTTCACTATGCTGGAGATTTTTTTTGACATGCAGAAAATTTTAATAAGGGGTGGTCCCACTTATTGATTCTGGGGAGTATTTCCTGTGTGGTTTGAGTCCCGTTCATGAATTCTCTACCTACCCCTATGTCTTCAAGGTTTCTACCCAATTTGTCTTCCAATAGATTTAGTGTTTCTGTTTTAATATTCACATCTTTGATCCATTTAGATTTTAATTTAGTACATGGT